ATTTTCAATACAAGTAAAATCAGGGAAGATTTTCACAAGAGGAGCAAAAAGCCTCCTCTGGATTTCTGTATAGCATGAAACACCCTATGAAAATCAAACAATGAACAATTGGGAGAGGAACGAGACAGTGATTCAGAAAGACATTATAAAGGGGAATTATCCTCCTCTTTTTGTCTCCAGTAGGGGGTATTAGAAAGGTTTTCTGGACCGTGGAAAAGACAGAAGCATGCTGTTCTCTTGACAAGTATTTTATTTAGCAGATAAGGCTAGACAGATAAAAGAGCCTCATCAATCTATACCCAGACTGTCAATTAACTTCCTGAAAGGTAGTAACACAAGTATTTTGCCACAAATTTCTACCTCAAGCCTAGCAAAGGAATGAAATGCAGAGTAGTTTCTTCCTTTCTTCATTACCCTTTAGAACACCACATACACACAGAAGTCACGCCAATTCATCTATACTGAAGCAGCTAAAGAGATAGTGAAATACAGTCTAGTAATACACTTCCTTTGTCAGGATAAGATATCCTTTCACCTATATTACATATTATAAAAAAGGCACCACAAAAAAAAAAGTGGAAGTCATGCTTAGACAACGCTGGAAATACACTGTCTTACGAACGAATCAGTTCAGGCATTTTTATATATAATTATAAAACAACCACGCTGTACAGATTAAAGCAGTTAGCTGCATGTGGTTAATCATTAAATAACTACACCATCTGCTATTTTAAAAGTGCAACAGAAACATTTGGCTGTTCTCACACACTCCTGTCAGGTAGGCTACCTTAAACTTAGGAAGTCTTGCACATACCAGATGGAAAATTGCTCAGCTTTTCCTACATTAAAACACGATCTTACCCTCATCTTTCACGTAAATTGGAGGCTTACAAAACTGACACCACATTCAATGTCACTACCCTGTCAACAAAATGTTGCTTGAAGAGTTAATCAAAGCACATGTCTCCTTTCTCGACAAAACAGAAGAATTACCCAGCAGGGTTCTGATCAACCTATTTTCTCATACATTTGAAAAAGGAAGCATCAGGAAAGGCTTTCTGCAATAGGCAGATAGTATTGGTGATAACCCTGAGCGACGTGAAAGCACAGCGCTCTCATCTTCCTTTTTTGCCTCTATAGCCATGTGAATTCAGGGAATTTAATGTTATGGATAAACCTGGTTAAAATTCTCTAGCTACTAACAAGAAATCTCCTCAACCACGCGAGAAGAGAAAATACTGTTACCTAGGCAGAGCTATACTGCAAGTCATCACAGCCATCACATTATACAACACAGCAGCAATACCCATGAAAATTTTGAACTGATCGCAGGCTCTGCCAGCATTTAGCCACATTCAGTGTTTTGAAATACTAACTCTCTGGTACAACTAGAAATTCTATACCCCCTTATGGCTTCCTAAGAGGCAAGAGGAGTTTCCAAGGAAAGCACCATGGAACTTCCGATTTACTTGCAAATCAGATGGGTGAGAATTAAAAGGTTCCCAGTGGAGTTTGAAGATATCAACATAAAAAGCACAAAACCCAACAACTTTTAGGTCTTTTAGTAACTGCTAATTGTCTGTAACCCAGCAACTCAATTATGACTATCGAAGTAGCTCTCTCCTGGGGTTACAGCTTCATTAAAAAGTTAGGATACCAGATTTAAGCAGCCATAATAGAAGGCAAAAATAATGAAAACAAAGCTCTATCATAAAGCAGATAAACAAACAAAATCAGGTATGTCCGACCAAAGTTGAAGGTTCATATACATGGAGGAAAAGTCATGAGAAAAGCAAGAAGCTTAATCACAGCAACAACTGCGTTGTTTGTCTGATTTTGCTAAAACATTTTTCAGTGCACTACTGAAGTGTTATAGTTCCAGAGTCACTAGTTCTGCATGCTTTACTATTAATTTATTAATAACTATTTTCAAGGACATGGCACAAATGTATTTGGCTAAGACCAAAGCAATGCTTTGCTTACAGTTGTAACTACTGAACTATTTAACTGGGATTTACAAACTCATTTGCTTAGCGCATTATATCTTCACTTACTTAACCTTAATTCAGTATTCATTTAATCTAGATTACATACTTATATATGATACATTTATTTTTCACTCCTATAATTCAGCCGACGGAATAAATCAACACACTGTTAGCTTAGCAATTTACAGAAAATTATTTTACCTTATAAAAATCAGTTTTGCACATATGTATGTATAATATGTCATTCTGGCAAGTTACATTATAAATTACTTTTTTTTAAGTGCCTCCACAAGATTCCACGGATTTTTTAACTGTCTGATCTATTGATTAAACTGTTAAATCCATTTACAAGGATATTTTATTGTACACTACTGGTACGGAATAAGTGCACCAACACGGTATACAAAATATGCCTTCTGTATAAAAAGTACATACATCCAAAATTCAAATTCAAACACTTGAGATGTCCTGAGTAACCTGCATCTGGTCAACCCATTCTGCAAAAAAATTCAATTCATGCTTTTTTTTATTCTACTTGCCAATTTTTTAAAAAGGCTTTCCAGGTTTTTTTCAATTTACATTTTGAGTTAATCTGAAACTATAAACAAACAGTTTACACTTGTTCTATAAACAATTCCTCTGTAAAATATCACACCAAGACTGCTTTATCCCTGCCTCTCAGCATCTCCAGCAGCTCTCTCAAACCATTACCACTGCTTGCATTCACATGGCCTTAACTGCTAGACATTTTTATAAAATGAACATATGCTCATTAAAACCAATTTAAAGTAGTGATTTCATTTAAGATTAGTTTGAAGGAGAAGGGAAAAAGAAAAGCTTTAAGATCATAATTCGGAAAAGAAATCTCAAACACTAAATTTCAAAGACTTATTACAATGATTCTACAACCTCTAGAACAGTTCCTCATTTCTTGTATTTCATCTTCACAGCTAGTTTCTCTAATATTTTCTCTCTCTGGCTGAGATCAAAGACTTCTCTTGTTCCTAGTGTTATCTTTATAATTTGTTACAAGGTAGTTTGTTACATGGCACTACTAGCAAAGGCCCTGACAATGAATATTCACGTACAATTTAATTTCGAGACATTTACTATTGTATTTCAAGTTAGAAAATTTGACTTCCTGTTTGATGTTCAGTTTCCCATATAAAAATCTGGCACCCCAGAAAAGCAGAAGCCCTGAGAAGGATTGGTGAGGTCACAGAAAACAAGCAACATCACATCATAACAAGCACATCTTCAGATGATGTAACAGGAAAGAGGACTAACTGGATTCCTGGGTTAGCAGAAATGGGATTCTCTGTTTGTGATGTAGGTCAGAAGAATATCACACAGAGCCCGGCCTGCACGTTTTCCTGTGAAACTGCAGGTGGTGCAGACGACAGCCAAAAAATTAAAACCATTAACACAGTCAAGCTGAAGAAATCAATGTAAGCTTTGTCAAAAATATGACTTAAAAGTAACTTGATTACAGTATATATCTTCCTAGGGCTAGTGACGAGGAAAGGGTGAGAAAAACATAACTTGAACAAACGGCTGAAAGCTGAAGCAAGGCAAACTCTAATTAGAAACAAGGCAGAAAAAAGGACAAACCAGCAATAACCATAGAAATGGTTAATCAAAATACCAAGGGAGTTAACTATTCCTCGTGGCTTCAAATTAGACTGGGAGCTTCTCTGGAAGGTGAGCTTTAACTGACTGAAAGGTATGTTCATTCAAAAATAACTGAAACATTTTGTAAACAGATGTCTTGTTATTCATTTTAGTCAGACTCTGCCAGGCCTAAAGAATTCCAACAACAGGACTTAAACGGGAAGACTCTTTGGGAAACTAGCCCATACTCATACAGACTACTAACTCAGAGCATACAACTTCAGTCATTACAAGATATTCGACAGCACATAAAAAAAACTAGCAGAGCCCTGAGGAGATTTAAACCATAAAAATGCTATTTAAACAATAGTTTATAATGAAATAGCAAAAGATAAAAACCAAAAGGATAAGATGCCTAAACATAACAAAATATTAAGTACAGTCAGAGTCAGCAACTTCACATCTGTGACTCACTGGAAAACAAGTAATTAGAACCATTTTAACCTGCAATGAGGCACTTGGGAAGTCAAAAGGCAAGCCCAGCCTTGTGCCACTGACAGCCCAAAATAAGAGATCCAGAGACTCTGCATGTGCGTGTGTGTGTGTGTGTGTGTGTGTGTGTGTGTGTACGCATGCACATATGCAGAATGAGAAAATAGTCACTTCAGTACCCAGAACTTGCTGGGATTAATTTATTTCTCTTCCAAAATTCCTGAAAGATGACTTCAACATACTTCTGTAATAGAAGAAAAATGTGCACTAACGCATCTTTTAATTATTTTACTATAGGTTGCAGCTTCTGAGCAAATGCAACAATTCAATGGCATTCTTAGAAGTAAACAGGAAACCTTTTTTTAGTTTCCTATCCTGTCATATTTACTCATTTTATTTCCTAAATGATTAGGAAAAGAAAGAACCACACACACACACACACACAAGCAGTCCTATTATACTTAATCAAGCCATTTCCATCTGCAAATATATTCAACCAGTAATAAGAGATTATACAAGTAGATGCTACACAATTGTCAGGACCAGTGTTTTGCAGAGTTGCTGCATAATATAATGCTAATGTTTTCTAGCCCCAGCTGTAATTTAACCATCCACACTACATCCCAGCCCGGCAAAAGAAAGCCTCCAGATAAAGGACAGTGTTTCCCCTAAATTACCTGAAAAAGATGCAAATGACCTGAATATAACCTCAGCCTCACAAGACTTTTGATAGGAACAGTTTTGCAGACCAGTGCTGTTTGGCTACTTCTGACGCAAACGGAAAAAAAAAAAAAAAAAGACTGGAGAGATTAGCCTTTCAATCAAAATGCTACTATTTTGACAACTTCTGGATTATTAAAAACTCTGTTGCACTAAATTCACTAGGAAAACCATTACATATACACTTACCGCAGGCTTTACAAGCAACAGCACAAATCTCCTCTGCAACATATTCTCCAGCTGGAAATTGCAGATAATCTCCTCCAGTCTTCCCAGGGGAATGATAAAGGTACACTTGAAGCAATGGTTCAGTCTGCTTGGGTGTACTGGTATTCCCAAGGACGTCACCATTCTGGTGGACAGTAGAAGTTGCTGTACCTTCCATGTTTGTCATTGTAAGACAGGCCATTGTTGGTTTCGGTTCTGTTCAGAATATTTGCCTAAAAGAAACATAAGGAGTACTCCTTGATTAACTGTATTTGGTTTTGCTTGTAACACTCTTATCTAACGATAGTACTGTTCTGACGCACGGAAAACGCGAACAACTACTGACTCAAGACTACAGAATAGCTGAGAAGGTTTAGTAAAAGTGAGTTTCATTTTGGCTTATTATATAGTCTGAACTCTGAAAAATAACTAGGACAGAAAAACAAAGGTAGTCCAGCTGGAGTATTTATTAACTCATCGAATCGTATACAGCGCGTGCTCAGCGGACGAGCTGAAACATGCTAGTTAAACCTGATGGCCAAAATGATCTCTGAATGACACCTATGCAGCTCATTATAATCCCAGTTTAAGATCAAAGATCATGTTGAGAACGTACAAGACAAAACAATTAACTGGGTGACAAACTGGCACGGATAAAGGGAAGAAAGGGTAGGAATATCACTTTTCAGTTGTGTTTTAATCTTAGGCAGACACTTAAAATAAAAGGTGTTGACTGAGGCAAGGCTCAAAATGAATAAGTAGATGTGACAAGTCTTCCTACCTACGGCAGATTCCAAACAAGACTCCTCCTCCGCTCAGACTAATCATATAAGTCTATTTCCTAGTAACTCAAACTAAAAATCTTCTCTCAAACATAAGCAAAGAGATGAATAACTTTAAATAGAACCACTGATATATTTTATAAGTTAAAAAAAGTGAGATTGACAGCGTACTCCAAAGGCCAATCTTGCTCTGTTGTGACTCCATCATAATTTTAATCAACCTAATCTATGCTTACAATAAAAGCTTTGATCACAATCTATAAGGCTTCCTTTCATTGAAACCATATAATAAATAGCTACCACCTGGAATTCAAAATTCCTTATTAACTATCACTAATAATACCTAGAAGAGCTATAAACAAGCTGACAGTCAAAGATTAGATTTACAAATGTTACCTTAAGTTAAAAATGCATCTGCTGCTTCAAATAGGTGGATGGGTGCTACATTTTAAAGTGTAATTTACAACAGAATTAGATCACAACAGGTAAATCAGTTAAAAAAAAAAAGACAGAAAGACTAAAAAAAAAATCTTACAGGAGGAGAACATTAAATTCATGAGCTGTGCTATAGATAAAAACATTTAGTTACACACACAAGAGGAGAAAACTATGGTACCCTGATGGTAGTTCTGAAAAAAGTCACCGTCACTACAAAAAAAGTGTATCATTTTAATTTCTAAATTAAATACAAACAGCCAGTATATCACAGAAACTGAAATCTGCATTTCAACGTGCAAGGATCACTCACTGCACGAGTGCCAACTTGTGCCTGATCCACAGAGCATATGGGTTCCCCAGTGAGGCAAATACCTCAGAACATAAAGATTTATGCTCTTAACTGCAAAGGCAGCACACTGGTATTAAGTAAATGTACAATGAAGAAAAAAAAAAGGGGTGGTGGGGAAGGGGAAGAGGCCTCCTCTTGAGTCATGAAGAAAATCTTACTTCTGAGAGGAAAATAACCATCATATCCCTGAAAACATATATAAAAGATATTTTACTGCCTCTTTGTCAACAACGTGCAAGGCAGTAATGTTTGTGTTTGGCTACTTGTTCATATAAAATATCATACCTTTAATCTCCCGAGTAATTCTCCTTTAATTAACACAGCAAATTTCTAAAATACTACAATAACAACGCTCTACTGAAAATAAACCTTCACTTCTGCTGCTTTGAACTGACAGATCCTTCCATTTGGGTTATGCTACAGGGCATAATGTTATTTCTATGGGATGCTAAACGGAAATACTACTGTCATGCTCTCAGTTTTATATAATGAACAGAAAACTTGGCCAATTTCAAATGAACTAAACAGGCCTGAAAGCACCATGCATGTGTCTGTCTCTCCTTCCTAGATTTTGTATCTCTACAGATACACTTGCCACTTCAAAAAAAAAAAAAAAAAATCAGCATTTCTTCCTTGTTTCTATACGGGGGGAAAAAAAACAAAACAAACAAGGGAACCTTGCTTAATCATATCCGAGAATGTGACATCAAGTGTCTACAAAGTACGGTCAAAAATGTAAGGTAAATATCACAGCATACTGTATTTTCCTCTATTCTCTTTGTTGCTCTAATTTTAAGAGTTCCATGAGGTAACAGTATGTGAAAAATCTCCAGAGATACAATCTGCATTTAAACCATTCTCATGTTTCAACGCTGTCTTTTATACCAATGTGCAAATGAAACAGACAGGTGAAAGCAAGTAATGAAATCTCCCTGAATCAGTTTATTCAGAAAAAAAAGAAAATACACCTTCTAGGCTTTGATCTTACACATACAAATAAAACGAAAGTTCTATTACTGAAGTCAGCAGAGCTATATATGTGCAGTAACTGAAACACATGGTTGCTATTCACAGGAAAGTGGTGTGAAAGAGTATTTCATATTAACTAAATTGCTTTCACCTGTGTTTAAGAGACAAGCTGCCAACTGGACACACTTTATTTTTCCTCTTCGCTCCATTGAGAAATCATTGCTTTAGCCCAGAAACATCAAACATGGCAAAAAAATTAATCGTTCAGCTTTTTCAATGGTCAGAATCCTAGGTTATGTTTTAAGTGTTTCTAAACTTGGAGACATTAACCACCCTGTTAGCAGAACGTAATTTAAATATCATTTTCTAGGGTAAGCATAACAGACTGGTTATCGTACTGTAATATAAAAGAATTTCTGTTTGTGTAAAGTATTTCCATATCTGGCTTAACAGATTTAATATACCTAGAAGAGGACTTTTATAGGTGAGTTCTTGACAATACCACAGAGGTACTGTTTATCAAACAGAAGCAATGTACCAAGCCCACACACTACTGGAAGTGGATGTCTGACATAAAATCAAAACTTCGTAAAAGTTAAAAATGGCTTGTCTACTTATACATATAACAACACTGTATAACATAAAATTTGGAAGGCATATAAATGTTGATAATTCAGAACAGAAGAACAGTAACCTGATCCAAAAGGATAATTTTTATATTCCTAATCAGAATAATATTCCAAGTCTGAGAACTTAGAGGATCAAATTAATCATTCCTCATATGTTGCTCTCACTCTAACAGTCACCAGCATCCACAACTCAACATGTTTACCTGCAGTTCTCTGTTCCTTTCCGTAACTCCAATGCACCTAGCTGAGGACCTATTTTCCCTGCCACACTGGACTGCAACCATTCATATGGTTCTTTTTACTCCTACTAGAAAGAAATTAGTTAACCAGTCTGAAAACCCCTGTTGATGCAGCAAATCTCATTAACATTTACAGAACATACAAAAACCCCCATCATTTAATAAAATACAGCATTCACAACCTCATCCAGAATTACATATTTTTTCTTCTTACAGCCAAGTTGAATCATGGGCTCCACCAGTTTCATTATATCTAAATTCTCCCCTTGAAAGAATTGTTTTCCTCTTCAGTTTACGTCTTTTTTGGGTGGGTTTCTAGGAAAATCTCTAACACCAGGATCAGAAGCCACACCACCTCAAACACACACCCTTGGAGGTTCAAAATCAGAGCGTTCTCTCACTACAAATAAATCCCCGGGTTGTTAATTACCTTTAATCACTTGAGAAAGCTCTGTATGAAACATGAGGTGCACAAGAGATGAAATCTTTTAAATGAGCACATCACAGGTCACCCACTTGCTGCCGGTATCCACAGGAGGCCAGGTAAAACAGGCATACAGGTGGAACATAACATATCTGTAACAAAAACATATATACATTAAAAATAAAAGTTGATGGCTGTGAACAATACATAATGCATCATTATTTAACACTACATTGCTACCCTGAACATTCATTAAAATCTATGCTTAGCTTCAGAGGAAGTGATCCCCTCCTATTTCTTCCACCCAAATTCCTAGTGTCATCTTTGACAACAACTTTTTAAACTTTTTTTTTTTTTTTTTTTTTACACTACACCCTGTCTTTTTGGTTCTAGAAAGGAGTGCTCCTCACTTCTAGCAGGATTCTGGTATATGAAATGAACACCTGACTTGAGGTACAACTCCTTATTCTCTTGCACTCATCGGGTTCTTTTAAGTCCTTAAAAGTAATAAGTATCTTTTACCACATGAACTGTTTGACATACTGTATCTGCAAATATGGCACCAGTTTAAGAAAATTGTTGCTGGCATTACACAAAGAAAGGAGAAATGACAAGGAAAACAAAGGATAAAGCAAGAGATGGTATGTTCACTTCATGTAGTAACACCTCCTTTAGCCAAAACAATCAATTCTAATTAACAACTGACTGCAGCTACCCCTTTCAATTCAGTTGAAAATTAACACCAAGTGCCTTGTAGTATGAAGGACAAAGGCACATCTACCCTTGCTTTTTTGGCACACCACGTCTGCAATTGCAAGAAACACCATTTGAAAGAAAGCATTTAAGCACAACAGCAACCTTCTGCATCAGTAAAAACAGAAAAAGTTCCTTGTTGTGACCCTCTAGGCACAGGAAAGAACCTCACAGAGAAGCAAAAGAGAATTTTAAAAACTGGAATAGGAGAAAAAAAAAATGCATTGGAAGTTCAAAGGGGGCAGAATTCCGAAAGGGAGTACTCTGCAAATTTTTGATTGATGACTCTCCAGACAGAAATCTTCCTGGACAGGACAGAACAGGAAACCAGCATAACAATTTCCTCAACAAAATCTGTCTGCTGAGTCTTTCATCAATATCCCAAGAAAAAGGCACCCATCTCAATGAGCAGTAAATTCAACTTCTCCCTCTGTGGAAATCTAACTGTTTTGAAAATGATTAGTGTTTTTCTTCTTGCAATACCAGCTTTAGAGCTCACCAGTTTTGCCTTGTTTGGACAGCTGTGCATTTTGTAGGCACCTCCAAGGATGCCCCTTCAATTGCTGTCTAGTCAGCCAATTAAGATCTCATCCAAAGTCCACTAGAATCAATGTGAGTTTTCCAGATCTGTATTAAAATATAAAAGAAAACTGCTCAGGGCAGAGCTGTCTATCACTGGTCAATTCAAGCACACTGATCTGACAGCTCCAGCTTCAAGCAAAGCACAGAATCACTGCCTATTCACACAGGTCCCAGGTCGAGAGTATTGCTGCATATTCTAAATTATCTCCTGGTTTAAAAGTGCCATTCCGTCCCCCAGTGACTCCCCCCTCATCTCATTCACAACTGCCTTGCACTCATAGCTCCCTCTCAGGCTTTTGACTTCGAGTAGAGGCATGTGAAGATTCACCTGACTGTAGCTAATTGTGTACCTTTTCCACAAACACCAGACCAATTGCAAAACATCATCACTAGCTATACAGGACAGCTGCCAATAAACAGATGGAACAAATCAGGTTGAACTAAGAACTCAAGTCCCTTCGGCTCTCTGGGTAGCAGTGCCCAGGGGAATGAGGCAACGTTTTTGAATGTTGCGACACTTTGAATGATGATAAGCTCAGTGGCATTGCAACTTGCATTTCAAATGCAACAGTTGCATAAAGCAGCCTAATATCTAGCCTATCAGACTTTACATGCCAAATAGGAAAATGACCACTTGCTTATGAGAGAACAGGTCATTGCCTGGGACGAAAAGCAAAGAGAGGAAAAATCGGTTCATCGTGGTTATCGTGACATCTTAAAAAGAAAATTGAAGCACCTTTTCTGCACAAATCTACAGATCTTCCCGTTAATAATAGGTTCAGCACCAAAGCCATATAAGAAATATCCAGTTTTCACACTCGTGGGCTGATTACGTCTCACCTGAAACAACTCGCTCTATTAGCAGCTGACTTCCTAAGATTTTCACCTATATTGCTATCTTGCTAGCAACCTTGTTTCCCCATTTGCTTTCCTTCCATTTGCTCAGATCTAAGTGAGCTTCTATTTTTGGCAGCTACAAGGATTTAAATGCCGAGTTCCAAAACAAACTTAGAGAGTCTAACTAAACTCAGTCAAAATAAATTTTTATGACATCTATCCAGCCGCCATAATTTGCAAAGAACACAACATAGACTTTGCTGTGCTGAGCAAAGGAGATTCTACAACCCGAAACAGTCACTTCTCAGTAGGCTCTTACAATTCCTACAAATATAATCAGTAATTCTGTTGCAGCTGTGTCAATGAGTACCGTTAACATTCAATTTATAAGCAACTGATGAGGAAGATCAAATTAGCCCTTTCTATTCACAAGCAAGATGTGAATATATAGGCTGTCTCCTTGTCATTATCTATTGCTAGTGAAACCAGAACAGCTTGTATAAACTTGAAAATTACAAAAATGTGCACAATTTGCATCTGCTTGTACACACACCCCTCCTTCAAGGAGTCTGAAAGGACTTTATAAACATGAATAACTAAAGCCTTCCCAAGTTATGGTAGGTATGTAGGCAGGCAAGAGGCTAGAAATATCTCACAAAAAAATCCCAATAGGTTTCACATTAGCAAGCGCTAATGGTAGAGTATCAGTAGGTTCTACATAATACTATGGATCGTCTCACAAAACCACAACAAGAGATTTTTTAAAAAAAAAAATGTTTAAATAGATTAGACTAAAAAGAAAGCCAGTCAACAGTTTCCCACTTCTGATTATATTGGTTAGTTTGTTGTTTTACATTTAATATTTATATCCAAAATATCTTCAGGGTCCAATTTGAACACGCAGACAAAAAAAGAACACTTAAGCTTTGTCATGATATACATCCAGCATGACCCGTTACGCTACAAAAACCATAAAAACTTAAAAGAATAGCAGTTATATTGTACACACAATATGCACTATCCCTTGCAGATTTCCTTCGTGTAGGTAGCCCAATTCTTTTCTGAGATACAAAGGTATAAATACAAGAAACCAAACGCACATCTGTTTTTGATAGGCAATCAAATGCAGTTTCTTTAAAGGAACAGTATGTGCAGAAGAGCCACTGCTCCCTAGAGAAAGGGCTAGAGATTCCTAAAAGCATTTGTTCAATCTGAACACACTAAATCACCAGGAACACACTAAATCACCAGCTCGTATTTCACACACACACACAAAATTCACAGCAACAGATACACAACGTTATACCACACAAATGCACTAGAAAACATTTCTCTTACTAATTCTATCAAATTCACGGTGCTCCGCAGTACCCTTAAAAGTACTCAATCTGGAAAATCCAAGAACCTTTTTTGTTGCTTAAACAACAAATCCTAAGTTTACAAATACAGTTAATCTCTGCTTTAATTATATCATCTTCAGCACTAAGAAAACTCTGCTCTTCTTTCTTAGGTAAAATTTATTCCAATTTCAAAAAGAACTTCGAACAGAAGCATTCAATATTGCCTTAAAACATATTCAAAGACATTGCCAAGTACAGAAAGGACATGCCTTCCGTTATGGTGATCTTTTTCTAACACATTTTGCTTGTTGAGGGATCTAAAAGTTGCCCTGGTGCATGGTAAAGCCACAGACACAGGAGAAACAACTACTCACATAAAAGATAACTACAGAAATGTATATGACTCCGAATGAATTTTCCTGTTTAGTCAGCTGTGCCTTAATATCACAGAAGGATTTTAATATATCAAGATTTGAATGCACACGGTGACAAGCAGATGCAGAAAGAAGATGACTGATGTCCAACATATCAATGACAAAACATGTGCTAAAAAAACCTGGAGAAGTGAAGATAACATTTGCTTACAGTTTTTACTTGGCAAACCACTGCTTGCATCAGCAATTCAGCAGGCGTCCGTGAACTTTTGCACAAGGAAAGAGTCCTGATCCTGGCCTGGCCTGGTTATATGAATAGACTAACCAGAGAGAAGCAGTTAGTATGAGGATCTGAATTTTTTCATTCTGATTAGAAATAAAAAGAATGGATTTCCAACTTCTTTGTAAGAGAATGAAGCCCTTACTCTAGCTTGTCCCAGGAAGAAAGCAACCCATGGGTGCTGTCTGAAAAGCAGAATGAATGACAGATGCTAGAAGCTTAGACTTCACAGTAACCCGCCAAGTAGGTGAATTGCCAAAAAAAGCAATCAAATCGGAAATCTGCCCACAGGAACAGCTCTGCCTAGGTTCCATCAGAACTTTGGCAAAAGTTGGTCTGTATCTGCAAAACATTTCAATTTCACCATGCTGATAAATTTCAACAAAACAGTATTTCATCAGAAAATTTCCAAGCAATTCAAATGGTTGCCCAATTGTTTTGGCTGAGTTTGTATCCCCAGACAGAGGGATCTGAGTCCATTCAGAGACACCATTCTCTGCACAGCTTTATATGCACAGAGGACACAGGAGCAGTAGCCACAATAGGTCAGAGAGACCTTTTGCATGAAGTATGTGAAAAATGTCTTCAATTTCCCATGATTCCCTTACACGAATCTCTCAAATTCTTCTAAAAATAATGCAATAAAAGACGACAGTAGCAAATTTAAGACAGGATAAAGCAGGTCACGCCGTATGTACTCGTTTGTGATGGAAGTGGACAAGACCTCCACAACATTCTCAACATTTCTTCTTTGCTTGCAAATCAAGTCCAGCAGCTATGGGAACTAAGTGATATTTTCACAGGTATGGTGTATCATCCTAGCTTTTCTGTTGCATGAAGCATACCAAAAACTGAATTCTGCTCAAGAGCTCAGATCATGAAGTAATGGTTAAATAGAAGCACAGGTCTCAATTATTTTCTTTGATTTCTTTCAAAAAGATATTACAACAAATTGCTGATGCTTTTGCATACATTGAGCAAATTCTTTATCTAGAAGATTAAATCCACCCCAAATTCACTCAAGGTTAAAACAACGTGCTGGCTACTAGCCTCGTTCTGCCTGGTGGCTTTTGATTACAAAACATGAGGAATCACTGTCCTACACTGAACGGTAGAAGTAAGGGCTTCTATGTAGTAACGACTTCCAATGAATTACCAAGAAGTTAGGAGAAAATGAAAAATGTAGAAAAAAAATCACATTTCACAGTGGAAAAAAAAAATTCTGACTCATCACTAGAACAGAAAAAAATATTATTCTATGAAAAGTCATTTTTTTGAAAGCACAGTTGAGGGGAAAAACCCTTCAGCCTTCTCTAGAGGACACACATGACAGTTACAGCTATATTCACAGGTTAAAATAAATACCGAAAGTGCAAAGGAAAGCAAAAAGTGTAACGGAAGCAGCAGCAAGTCAAATTGCCTGGACATTTTTAAGCACTGCAAGATTCCTGGTTCTGGTCACACCACATGCAGTGGGAAGATGACACTGGAAGATATTTCTGAAGAAAGTAACCTGCCCTCTTCTAAAATATAATTCCCACTCCCGTAACTGAAGAGGAATGTTTCAAAACATGAACCAAGAGGAGTTACTACAACACTGTGTTGCCAAAGAATAGCATCACTAGTTAAAAGCAAATGCCAGTTTAGCAAATGCTGTCAAGAACCAAGCAGGCTATGCTAAGCTATCAGAAGCCATACATGTTTCATGTTGCTGTCTGACAAAGCTAACCAGTGTTGCAGCAAAAACCATTAAACACATGGCAAGGAAAAAGGTTTCAAAATTGTAACTCTTCCCCCAGCTTCTGAAAGACCTGTCCTTTCCCTGTGGCACGTGGGGGGTTCTCAGGTAAACGTCTGCACTCACTTTAAAAAGAAACAGAACAGCCAAGACCCACCACTTGCAGCAGTTTGTTCAAAGTCTGACGCCGTTCAGAAGTGCCAATGTTCTTTGTCTCCTCCAACTACTGGAGCGCTCTGGTGTATCACATCTACAAAAAAGTATCTTCTGCACAAATAACAATACAATAATTTCATCAAGCAGAGTTATAATCCTGGTAGAAAAAATATATTTCTTTTCCTTCACAGAGGATAAGGCGTTTCCCCACATCAAACCCCTCCTTCAGGAAAACAGGTCATAACTCTTTCCAGCTACCATTGGCTACTAGGATAAACCGATCAGTTTGCAACTGCTTAGTAAACTTTTCCCAAACCTGGATTTTAAAAAGTTAAACCCTTGTGGACTTTCCTTCTGAATTTTATCATCTCCCTTTTCTTGCCTTCTTATCTCACTTCCCCAGTCTGGCCACTTCCCTCTTCAGAGGTTAGTAAAACTACTGCCTCTAAAGTAACTGTCATACGTGTTTACATAGAGTGCAGAAACTCACATGTGTTAAGAGCTAGAATTTTTTTCACGTGAACTAGTAGCAGAGCACTGTTTTGCAGGGGGGAGGGTAATAACTGCTAGCCTTTTGTAGGCAAGTACGAGGTACACAGAAGAAAGAACAAAAGAGGAAAGATGGAAAAGTGTCAAAATAAGGTTTAAGGGCTTTTTTTTTTTCCCTCGCTCCATGCCACCTACTTTTCTTTTGCTTGCCTTCCAGCATATTTTGAATTGAGCAGCTTCAAAAAATGAAATTCAGTAAAAAAGATCATGATTACGGGCCAAGCATCAGGCTAGTTTACGAAAAAATAGTCAGTCAGGCCCCAAAGGGTCTGATTAAGGTGACTTGCCTTACAAGTGACCCTACATATATGGAGAAATAATTGCACGAAATTGTATTGACATGTCTTTCTGCAGTGCTGGCTAGATGAAAAGGTGTTCACAGTTTCAACAATATGGAGCTCATGACTGACATTACTATTCTCTATTAAACGTCTCTAAATATCTACTTTTGGAGGCAAAAAGTATCATTTTACGGACTGGACACTTTACCATACAGGGTACAGGTATCACGGAGAGTATCATCACAATCTCTACCATCTTTTCTGCTTAGAGGTAGGAAAGTAAAAATATTTTTTTCTGTAGGAAATAACACATTCAAAATTTCCCTCCAGCCGCTTCCATTCTTGAGTATTCTTTGGAGTTTATTTTACTTTCCAGTTTTCGCCACCTGACAGTGAATTCTGAGACAGAGTCATCAAAAAGGTCAAAACATCTGGATGAATGAAGCTTCCCCTTGTTTCTTTTCCACTTTTTTACAACATCTGAAGAGAATCTGAAAGCAAGTGTTTTACCAAATTAGCCCTTTTCAGAAAAAGCTGTCAGAACGTACACAGGATAACCTTTAAGTCAGAGTGAATCAGCAACCTCTACAGAACAGCAAGTAGCAAGATTCCAGGGTCTCCTCTGGGCTCTCTAGAAACCTACGTGTTCCGTCTACCCTGCCTTTTCACTTCTCTTAATTGCTTCAGTTTAGAAATTATATATCAATAGGCCAGATTTGAAGAAAATTCCATGAATTCCCTCCTTAAGATGTTTCTCTGTGGAAAAGTGCTTAAAGTTTCCAGGAAACTTACATACAGGAAACAATGTAAGTTCTTTACAATGATATATCAGTTACAGCTACTTGGAATTTTCTTTGTTTATAGAAAAGACAATTCCATATAACACAACCTAAATATGAATTTTTACATTTTATTTAGCCTTCTTTAGTATTGCAGCAGTAGCTGAAAACCTAGTCAAGATTAGAGCTTACTGCACAAAATAACCCGTGCAGCAAAAAGTCTGCCCTTTAAAAAAAAGGGGCACCACTCCCCTCCCCCCCAAACCTTGGTCCTACACAGTTTCAACAGGGCTACAAATGGATGAAGCTATGCATGAACTACATCACACTTACAAATTCTTCCAGAATCAGAGGCTAGTTACATAACATGATACGAGTGAATACAAAATAAACAACCCCCCCCCACACACACACACAAAAGAGAGACATTCGAGTCACAATTTTGTGAGCAGTGCCACAGAACTATTTGAAAATAAATGATTTTCATAAACAGAAGTTTAATTAATTACTAATATTTTAAAAATCAACCCATATAAGTGTATTCAAAATCCTATCAAATAATGATTTAGAGTTCAATGACAGCATATATTGCATTTCCTGTTATTCTTTGCTAGGATGGTTGAAGTATGTTTAAAAAAGCATTACTTTTTTAAAAACACAATTTTAATGCTTTATATTGTTAAATAATTTCAGATAGCAATGTTCACATTTTATCTTTACGATTCAGGAAAATGCACTTGCTTGATAGTTTACTTAATGCTTCTTTAATCATCAATGGCCCAAGAGCCTTCCACCCGTTCCCTATCTGAAATACCAGCCAGCTTTTGCAAAGATATAGCACTACATGCTTTGCCAAGATCATGTTATCTCTATAAGCACAGATTGCCAGAAAAAAAAATGGAATCTAAAAAACTAGGACTCTGAAAGTAAACAAAAGTTTGTCATAAAATGTACAGTTCCATGCAAAATTCTGGTCAAAATGAAAACATTTTTAAAAGTAAAGCAAAAAAGAAAAGTACAATTAAGACAATCCTATCTTCCCAATGTAACATTTCAAGTATTCTATGTTCTTCTGTACAAAATATAAATTACAAAAAATTATTAAGATCGCTTTTCGCACTGGAGAGCAGTCAGGTGGCTCATCGTATGCATCCAGTATTTACAGAATGTTGCTTTGAGCAAGACTAATCTTTTCAATTTTATGCTTTGCTTTTAAGGGAAAAGAAGATATTTCCCAACAAGATACATTTATGAAGAACTCCTTATGTGCATCTTGCATATGCTCCTAAATTCTGAAATAAGAGCAATACTCTGCTGTTTTCATGATGCTTGATATTATATGCTGAAAAAGACAGTAAGGCTATTCTAGAGAATAAGAGCACAATAATTCTTTACCAATAATTCAAAATGGTACAGGAGACCACTCGACATGAATTCAAGAAAAATAAATGTAAAAGCAAATAATTATTCAAATAGATGCTACTAAAGCCTGGATAGTACACAAAGGCTGAAGACTGAATATACATATATTAGAAACATAGTATTTTTTTTTTATGTCAGAAATAACAACAGCAAACTACTGCAACAAACAGTCAAGAAAGCAGTAGATTCTTTATCTCCCAATCTGAAAACTTTTGAGTATTCTCACTGAGATGTATTCTTGAAAAACAGGCTTTACATAAACCCAACTTAATGGACTTAGCACAGGAGGAAAGCTGAAAGCTAATAGGTCTATGATATACAGAAGATCAGATAAGATGATATAATGTTCTCCTCCGGATTTCAAAATGTGGTTCTGTAGATTGTGGCATTATCAGTTCCTTTACAAGAAGGCATTATAATGTAAAGATGAAACATCTCTAGCATAGCTATATTTTTCAGCTAATAAAAATGTTTATAACAAAATTGCATTACAAAATTTCCACTGAACAAACTCAATTATTCGGCCTTTTTTTTTTTTTTTTTAAAGTTATCTGATGACAGAAAATAAAACGGGAAATTAAAATTAAAATCATCAATTCTCTAAGTACATATCTCAAAGTCCAATACTAGCTTTGCCTCTCGGCTCTTAACTCCAGGACTTCCATTTGTTTCTCAGCGATGGACAACAAGCTCCCATTACTCCAAAGACAATTCTTCAGACGTACTCACTGAGTAATCTGAAATAAGACACATCAGTTCTTCATGCTAAACTCTGACTTCAAATCAGAAACCATGTTCTTTTAATCTTGCCTAAAGGTGGCATTTTCTCACCAACTGCTATTCTACAATGCATGGAGAATCCAAACGTACCTACTGCGAGCTCTTCAAAATTGAGGATACTCTAGTCTCTAAATAACACGAGATGGACTTCTTTCTAGATCAGTCCCAAATTCATGAATCACTTAAATTTTTGATGCAACTTTTCGGGATAATAACCATATTTAATTTTAGTCTTAACTCAGCTCTGTCAAACTATGAATTTCTAACCTCTCTGCAAGAGTAAGGAAAGAACTGCTGCAAAGGGTTAGACTTTCATGGACCACCTCTCAAGACAAAAAGAGAAAACCCCTAACAGTTTAACATTTGACTAATGACAGATGACAAAAACCAAGCTGTCTTAGTAACAATGATGCAATAAAAAAAATCTTAACTAGCTCAAGAAAAAGGCCTGTTAAAAGTAACTGTATTCAATAAAATTGAATATGGCAAAAAGAAGCTGTATTACCTTTAGTTGTATTTTTAGGTATAGTTCTAATTAATCTAAATGAAATATACTGTACTACAGCCAAGTTTTCTTTTTCACTTGTAAGCTGCACAGAACTATGCATCTCCAGGACCAATCTGGAAATTAGCTGAACTGGTCGTTTTAAGAGGTTTTTGCACATATAGTTTCAGATATAAGAAAAATTGCTGAGATCCATTGAAACGAACTTGGAGTTTCACAAGTGACCACGATCTCACCTCTCTCTATGCATTCTGTGAGCTCCTGATGACCTACCCTACATAAGGGGCGAACTACACAATAGTATAAATACTAATAGTTACTGTATTTGTTAAATGTACGTTCCAATTAGCAAGCTGAATCCAATTAAAATCCTAAGCAGAGAATAAAAGTGTCTGAAAGGACCTCTTTGACCAATCATTTCTGTTTCTAAAAATGGATATCCTTCTACCTGCGTTTGCCCTTAGTATTTACCATGTCTGGTCACCTACCAGTAAATGATAATTCCAATGGATTTTTTTTCTTCATTGGCACATACAAAGGACTTTGACCACTAGTACATGCAAGAAACAGTCCACCCATACCTAGATCCAAACCAAACAACAAGATACTTATCTGTCCATTCATCACATTATAACCGAACTGAGTTTAATTTTCTTAAACTAAACAAGAGGGTGCATAGTGCAATTACACATAGTCCCATTATACCCCTCTGAGCAGCATACAGACCAATGAAATAAAAACATAAAAAAAAAAAAGCTGGACCCCAGCCTTATTTTTAATATAGTGATAGCATTTTTTGCTATCAAAATTATTTAAAAATAAACAAAACCCACCAAGACAGCTCTGTTGTAGACGAC